CTGTGTGTCTGTGCTATTATGTAAGAATGATGCAAATGAAAGGAATGTCGTGAGAAGATACTACACTGTGTGTCTGTGCTATTATGTAAGAATGATGCAAATGAAAGAATGTCGTGAGAAGATACTACACTGTGTGTCTGTGCTATTATGTAAGAATGATGCAAATGAAAGAATGTCGTGAGAAGATACTACACTGTGTGTCTGTGCTATTATGTAAGAATGATGCAAGAATTCCATGAGAAGAAAAAATTAATAAAAGACAATAAATGGACACGTTTAAATGAAAACTTTTTTGATTGCTTTATCTTTTCCAGTGTTTCGGGCAGACGCTCTTCGTCGTATGCCCGAAACAATACACAAAATACAACTATCAAAAGATTTCATTTAAACGTGTCAACTTATCCCTTATTATCTTATTTGTATTAATACTAACCACTTGTTGTGTTATTATTCAGGAATGTATCGGCTTTTGATATGTGTTATTACACCATTAAATCTTTCACTAAATATATTAGCACGAATAAATACATTATAATAGAACTGTCTTGTTGAATATAAATCAGCATTATACCTGGAGTTTAGATATAATCTTTACAGTTTTCTTATGTTTCAACCTGCTAGAATCTAAGTTTCGATACATACCTATTAATAACAAGTGTAAAACAGACGCCATTTTTGTCTAAAAGATTTATTAAGGCCTCGCTGACACATTCAGATTGTCGTAAAATTGTCATTTATATCTCTTCAATACACACCTATTATTAACAAGTGTAAAACAGACGCCATTTTTGTCTAGAAGATTTATTAAGGCCTCGCTGTCACATTCAGATTGTCGTACAATTGTCATTTATAGCTCTATTCTAAGGAGTTTAAATTACATTGTTTTTACCAACCTCTACAATGTCAATGAAAATGATTCCCATCTACTATGGGTCGGGTTTAGCATTGTGGGAGAGTATCAGGCTGTTGTGTGCGATACGCCTCTGAACACACTATACATTTTCAATCGTGTACGTTATATCAATATTTTAAAGACCTTGTTTCCAGAACACATATAATAGGGATAACACGTAAATAACATTCATAATTTTATTCCCTTTTATTAAAACTTTTAATCTCACAAATGATGATATATATAAAATCGTGTATTGAACACGTGTCTGAGGACAGTAATCTCCTTACATGGTGTTAAGCTATAGTTTGCTTTTGTTGAAACATGACGAAGAACCATGTAATATGAAGCTCTGTAACTTTATGCAGTTAAGACCCGATGTTTATGATTTTTTTCTGTTATGGCTAATGACGGTGAAGAATACCTATAACGCTGAGACGATACAAACTCGTCTTAAAATGTTGCAGAATATGACATTGGGGTGAAGGCTTAGTCGTAATTCTCATTAAAACAGCAGATATCTTATTTATTAGTACATGTTTATATAATGTAGTAAAGAAAGACCTTAGTTTTAAACTTATCGAAAACAACTCCCGTAACAACAAACGTGATCGAATTACGATCGATAACCCCTCACAGTATGTCTATAAAGCATCGTATGTGTTGAATATTGAAAACAATTCAATGTTTACATGCTCTTTCTTGAAGTAAATGGGAGAAAGAACTTACATATAAAAACAATCTTAATATCACACTGAACTATGATCAATATTTTATTTAGTTATAGCATGTTTAACGTTTCCTTGGAGAACACGTTTTTTTCAAAATTCAGGATAGTAACATATTAATATTCTCCAGAAATAATGTGCTTATAAATGTACTGGAATGTTTTTTTTTCATAACAGGCGAGCGTGGCATAGCATTTAGCGTGTTGTACTATAAATCTAAGAAGCTATGGCTTGCAGCCTATTGTCTTAACATTGCGCTCCGCACTTTGGGACTGTGTATGCGTTATAGGAGTGACGTTTTTGAATTTTAGAGAGCTATTTGTGCTAGCCACCCCTAATTTAAAAGTGAAAGGCTAGTGGGAATGTAGCTGGTCAACCATACCCACCGTCAGCTCTTGGACTACTCTTTATCAACGAGTAGTCTATCAGTTCAAAATGAGGGACAGCTGTTGAAGATAGCGTTCGTGTAGCGTTGCGCGAACATCTAAATATATATATATATATATAACAAACGAAACTGTAGTTCAGTAAAAAGTAGCTTTTTAATTAAGCGATTTATATATATCGAGGCACAAGTTTATATTTAATACAAGCATAGTTCGCTTGGAATATATTATTTGAATAACTACAAAGCAGTAAGAAACTTCTAAAGTTGGATTTTAAAATAAAATCATGAAAATAAGCGAAAATGAAAGTGGTATGACTCTATAAATGACGCCTTAAAAGAAAAATATTTAAAACTGGTACCCTGTTCAGTAATGCTATAATTTTCTTTCTAAATATGATTTAATTTTAATTGAAAATTTTGAATTGTTTGTTTTAATTATTTTTATATCAATCACATTACTAGAGATAGAATTTGTTTTAGCACAAAGCTACACAACAGACCACCACGGGGAGTTGAACCCCGGATTTTAGAGTTGCAAGTCCATAACTTAATGAGGGACTAATAATGAAGATATAAGCTTTGAAACCACTACGTAATATAATAATTTACAGAATATATTTAACGTTGTTTTAAATTTGTTTGACTTATTTATGTTACTTTAGGACTAGAAGCGAGAAAGTGAAGATTGCTTATATCTTGTAAGGCTCATTATTTTAATTTTAACGTATTTTCCAATAATTGTTTATCCTAAGTAAAAGAAATAAACTTATTAGCACTAAATATTCTATTTAAAGCAGAGAAATAGGGAATCAAATGTATGAAATAATTTACTGATGTGAAATGAACTGTCCCTTTTCCAATCAAACCCAGGTCCTTGGATTGTGATGTATAAAATAAAACTAGTACCTATTCCCCAAATATGTTCTTACTCTTTTAATATTTGGAAGGTTCATTTGAACTAAAAGAACAGTTATCACGCAGATACTACGCCATTATGTATCCCCTTGGTTTTCAATGGACAAAGTCCAGGGGACTAGTTATCATCGCAGTCATCTGGACAGTAGCCTCAGGAATATCCAGTGTACAGTTGGTCCACGGGCGAGCTGAAGTTTTCTATATACAAGAACAGATGTTCTACGACTGTAACGAAGTTATGGATGAGTTTGATAGCAAGGTAAATACGTTTCTTTTAAAAAGAAAAACTGTAAGAAGAAAGGTTCAGACATGGCTCCAAACGTAGTCACCTACACGATTAAAAGTAAGGAATTTGTTTTAAACATAAGACAGTAAATATGGTTAAAAAATTTACATGTTAGCAAAGAAGATAAGTATGTTCTTCAGATAACTAAAATCAGCAGAATAATAGAAATGGTATTCTGTGATAGATTGTTTAGGCAGAGTATTCATGATGAAACTTTGTAGAATGGACGGCAACTGAAAACGAAAGGAGGAAGACTTTCGAAACGTCGTCCTCTACACTTGTGTTTCTACAACACTCGGTTGCCGTCCTTTCTACAAAGTCTCATCAATAGAAAAGGTATTCTTTTAAATATATCAGTCTATAGAATACATGTTAAGGAATCGTTTCGAAGTACGTAAAGTAATAAACCATAAGGGGTAAATACCCTGGTTTTAAACAAAAGCCTAAATTTGCAGAATGAAATTAAGTTTCATATTTACACCGCAAGTTTTATTTAACCAAATAATGTTGACGATAATCCCTATTAACATGTTCATATTTACACCGCAAGTTTTATTTAACCAAATAATGTTGACGATAATCCCTATTAACATGTTCATATTTACACCGCATGTTTTATTTAACCAAATAATGTTGACGATAATCACTATTAACATGTTAATATTTACACCGCAAGTTTTATTTAACCAAATAATGTTGACCATAATCACTATTAACATGTTATCTTACTTTTCTCTCAACGCCTATATTTTATTTAATGTTTTTAACATATCGTTTTTGACTTCAGTTAGCTATATAAGAAATTAATATAATGCTTTCACTTTCTACTTACACTTGAACTATAGTTTTCTTGAATTAACTTGAAATCGTTAAGATGTAGCTGAGAGCAAAATCTTGTTCGTCTTTATAGACATCTTAAAATAATCCGCTAATATTTTCTGCTACAATAACCTCATTTGAAAGTGATATAACTCCGTCTTGTAAGATCAACAACACCACCAAAACTTACACCTTTTTTAAAGAAGAAAATCACACTATAAACGTGTACTTCAGACAGATAGGTTTTATAAAGTGTAGTGTAGTGGAAGTTAATAGGATTAAATTTGAATAATACCACAAGTGAAAAGTTTAATTTCCAAATGAAAGACAAATATAGGGGGAAATAAATACAAACGTTCCTTATTAAGATTTTTCCACGAAATATGAATAAAACATGTGCAAAAAGGGTGTTTTCACTTTCAAGAGAAATCACCAACACGGATTAATTAAGGATATGGCTTAGCGGTATGACATTCGTTTTGAAAATTGGACATTATCCCTTAAACATAATTTCATCTTATTAAGCCATCTGGAAAAGATAGCTGTTATTTATACGCATGATTTGAAGAAAGTTCTAATAATGTCCGCATTAATTAGGTTCTCGAAGGTTAGGTATAGAATCCGTATACATTAGCTACCTGAAGAGTGATTTTAACTGATAACTTAAAAACGGTTAAGTACGAAGTTGAATTTTGATTGCAATACTTCCTTATGAGTTAACGGCTTTTATAATTGAACTTAACTCTATTTCACGGCAGAAACAGGTTATGTGTTTGACTCATCTACATAAAAGTCAAGGGTTATTTCAAGGTAAAGCCCATATTTAAAATGATTACATTTTTACAAATATTTGCCCCAAGGAAACCAAATTTCAACAGAGACACAGATAGAATCACAAGTTTTATTTAGAATAGTTTATGCATAGCATAGTGTGTTTCAAAACCTGTCACATAAGATGATTATTGCACTCTCTGCCATTCTCGATTAGCATATCAAGGCATATAAAGCCACAGCATGCCTCATCTTTCTTCAGAATGTTCATTGATTCCTATTGTGCACAAATCTTATTCAACTCCCTAGTCCTCGTATTGTTGAAAGAAAGTGAAAAAGAGAAACAAGCATAATCTATTCTTCAGAATGTTCATTTATTTGTTTTGTGCACAGTCATATTTAGATTCCTAGTCTCGTATTGTTGAAAGAAAGTAGACGAAGAGAAATAAAAACAAAGTTACTTTGTGAGAAAAGTGTTTTAGATAAGTATTTATAATATTGAAATACTCAGTAACACTTCCAAATATTTCCTGCCTAAAACGTATGACACTTGATGGAATTTAGCTCCATTAGGAAAAGAAGGGTTTAATGTTCAATCAGTTAAATGTAGGGTTTTCTCTAAAATCACCCTATGAATATAGGAGAAACAAGTTATGTGTCTGAGTAATTATAATAACATGAATCTTAAGTACATATAAAATTTAACTTCATCTGATAACATAAACAGGTTATGTGTTTGAGTCACTCTGATAACAGTAACATAAGTACATATAAAATTTACCTCTGTAGCAGAAGCAGGTTAGGAGTTTGAGCCATCCTGATAACATATGGGCTGTGTGACTAAAATGATAACATGTTGAACATTTGTTAATTTCAGACATACAAATAACAGTTTCAATGCTACAAGTTTTCTTTGAAAGAGAATTAATTTTAAAAGATACTAAGGTTGTTTTAAGAATTGGTCGTGTAAATTGTGTTTTGTTAATGTGTATTTTTTTCAATATTACGTTTAATATTATGTAAAATATTTAAGTATTCTTATAACGATACTTTCTACGTCCTGAAATATGATACCCATAGTCTTCTGTCGTTAGACAATTACGTTTTGACCGTATAGAGATGCTTAGTAACATATGCTGCAAAAGTGTATATAACCAGATTTTGATTACGTATATGTCACTGTAAGGAAGTGAGGTCGACGGAAACATCAAAATAGCTTTATTACATTCGTAATAATTGATTTCGAAACTGTCAATTTAATCACATAGACTTCTTCGAGACACAGAAGTTTACTTTAGCTGCTTCTCTGATTATTCATCCGAAACGGTTGTTATATATGTATTCTCTTCCAGGTGTACACAATCGTCGTATTCGTCGTGACGTTTCTCCTACCACTGCTGGTTCTAACTTACACATATGCTACTATAGGCTTGAAGATGTGGAAACACAGTGTCCCTGGTAACGCTCATGACGTCAGAGATCATCAGCAGCTTCAGTCTAAACATAAGGTAAGGCACGTCTAATCTTCAAATGGTTAACAGTGGACTTTCTGCAGCACTCAAAATTAACGCTGTATTGATAATTAAGATCTTGACAAATAAATAATGAATATTACCTTTTGTAATGTTGACTATTACGTGTTTGACATATAAAGCTGATTATCTTCTCAGAAAGGCTTCTGTTTATTTCGTAGAATTGACAGTTCTCAGCTAGACCAATCGGGAAAGAGATTTTATCTTAGAACTCTACCCAGTTAAATTGTTTATTTCGTTTATCTCCCGTACATATAACTAGAGTATTCGAAAAATCGGTTAATACTGGTAGCTTTTGAAAGAGTGAAATAGGTTAAAACACACGACTTTTAATTTGGACCTAATCTCTCTTTTAAATGGTATGGAAGACAAAATATAATAGTTTAACTTTAATGAATTTTTGTTTTAAAAACAACTGTTGAATATAGTATCTTTTTAAATTACATTTGTAGGACACTTTCTCTTGAAAGTTCTGTTTCATTGCTACAATTCTTTTGACAAAGATTTCTCTTGAAAGTTCTGTTTCATTGTTACAATCCATTCTGACAAAGATTTCTCTTGAAAGTTATGTTTCATTGCTACAATCCATTCTGACAAAGATTTCTCTTGAAATTTAAGAGAAATCTTTGTCAGAATGGATTGTAGCAATGAAACAGGAAAGTTCTGTTTCATTGCTACAATCCATTCTGACAAAGATTTCTCTTGGAAGTTCTGTTTCATTGCTACAATCCATTCTGACAAAGATTTCTCTTCAAGGTTCCGTTTCATTGTTACAATCCATTCTGACAAAGATTATAAAACTAAAACAGACTTATACTTTTTCTAAGAGTCTTATAAGATCTAATACAATTTCATAATTCAATGCTTCCTAATAAAAATCTATGTTTCTATTTAACGTCCCCTACCTCGAGGAACGACAAGAAGTTCCACTAACTCTAGTTACAAATTGTATAATTCTTAAACCGTATTATAAATATTTCTTTTCTAATAATTTTGTTATGTTTACTCCTCAAGCTATTAAAACTACACTTTTAAGATGATTTATAAGCATTTGCTTTCTAATTCTCATGTAATCAATACTATATTTCTAAACTTTTTTTTATTCCTTAGGCTTTTAAAACTTCACTTTTACGCTGTTTAATTAACGTTTTTCTATTCATCCTAAAACTATTAAAATATATTTTTTCGCCGTTTTACAAACAATTCATTTCTAATTATGTTTGAAACCGATTCATTTTTTGAAATAATTCACAGACCTTTGAAACTATATTTTAAAACCACTTTAAAAATAAGTTTAATCCGCAGGCTTACAAAACTATACATTTAAGCCCTTTCATAAATATTTGTTTTTTAATCCTCAGGCTTACAAAACTATACTTTTAAGCCCTTTCATAAATATTTGGTTTTTAATCCTCAGGCTTACAAAACTATACTTTTAAGCCCTTTCATAAATATTTGTTTTTTAATCCTCAGGCCATTAAGATGTTAGCCGTTGTGGTTTTACTTTTTGCTGTTTGCTGGCTTCCAATTCACATCTTCAGCATGTTGATATACTTCAAAGAAGATTTCACCATCGTTCAGAACGAAGAAGAGTATTTTGCATTTGTAGCAGCTTTCTTCTGTTGCCATTGGCTTTCCATGGCTAATAGTTTCGTCAATCCTTTAGTTTACTGCTTCATGAGCGAGAATTTCAGGGTAATATTTTTTTTCTGTTACTTTTTTGCGGAGTCTATGTTGTAACCATATCTATAGCTACATGTATACATATATATATATATATATATATATATATATAT